CTCCGGGGACCCAGGGGGGACTCGGGGCTACCTTCCTCCTGGCCGGCCGAGGGAGAGCAGGAGCAGCCCCACCTGCCCGGAGCGGGGCCGAGGAGCAGCCTTGCCGGACGCCCAGAAGTTGCACCGCCGCCCAAAATGCCCCAAGTGGGGAAAAGGCGGAAAAGGAAAATCCTCCGCAACGGAGCTCTGGAACGTCAGAGCTGGAAGGGGGGGGGGAGAGGGAGAACGAGAGGAACGTCCTAGAGTGGCGCCTCGGAGGACTCCGAGCGAGCCGCCTCTTTGACAGCTGGGCGGAGTCTGGAGAGGCCGGGAGCCTTTCCCTCCCTCCCTCCCTCCCTCCTCCCCCCTCCCTCTCTCCTCCCCGGGATTGGGAAGAGGCTGCCGGGGATCCACGCTCCCTGTTTTCTCCGAGGTTTGGAAGGGACTCGGACGAGGCATCTCCTATCCAACACCTGGCAAGGCTGAGATGGCTGTGGAGGATGGGCTGCGTAGTAGGGAGGTGGGCGAGACGGAGGTCCTGCCGAGTCCAAAGAGGCTTCGGTGATGATGGATCCGGGCGTGACTAGGTTGAGGCGGGGGCGCTGCTTCTGCTCTCCTCTCGGGCTCCGCCTCAGCCTTTCAGTCCTGCCCCTTGGCCTCCACTTAATAATAATAATGATGATGATGATGATGATGATGATAATGTTGGAAGGGACCTTGGAGGTCATCTAGTCCAACCCCCTGCTCAGGCAGGAAACCCTATACCATTTCAGACAAATGGCTGTCCAGTTTCTTCTTCAAAACTTCCAGTGTTGGAGCATTCGCTGCTTCTGGAGGCAGGTTGTTCCACTGGTTAATTGTTCTAACTGTCAGGAAGTTTCTCCTTAGTTCTAGGTTGCTTCTCTCCTTAATTAGTTTCCACCCAGTTGCTTCTCGTCCTGCCTTCAGGCGCTTTGGAGAATAGCTTGACTCCCTCTTCTTTGTGGCAGCCCCTGAGATACTGGAACACTGCTATCATGTCCCCCCTCGTCCTTCTCTTCATTAAACTAGACATACCCAATTCCAGCAACCGTTCCTTTAGTCTCCAGTCCCCTAATCTCTTCTCCTCCCCTTCCCAGCTTCCCAGTTGGTACTCCGTTCCTCCGTTGGGCATCCGGGTCCAGGGTTCCTCTGCCCATGCGAAGAGTGCCCTTCAGTGCCCAGGCAGGCCTGCACCATCCCCCGGCCCTTTACATACAGATGGAATTTATGTATGTATTACATAGATACACACTTGGAATACTGCATCCAGTTTTGGTCACCATGATGTAAAAACGATGTTGAACCTGTAGAAAGAGTACAGAGAAGAGCAACAAAGATGATTACGGGACTGGAAGCCAAAACATAAAGAACGGTTGCTGGAATTGGGTATGTCTAGTTTAATGAAGAGAAGGACGAGGGGGGACATGATAGCAGTGTTCCAATATCTCAGGGGCTGCCACAAAGAAGAGGGAGTCAAGCTGTTCTCCAAAACACCTGAAGAAACAATGGATAGAAGCTAACCAAAGAGAAAAGCAACCTAGAACTAAGGAGAGAGAAATTTCCTGACAGAACAGTTAATCACTGGAACAACCTGCCTTCAGAAGTTTTGAATGCTCCAACACTGGAAGTGTTTAAGAAGAAACTGGACAGCCATTTGTCTGAAATGACATAAGGTTTCCTGCTTGAGCAGGGGGTTGGACTAGATGACCTTCAAGGTCCGTTCCAACAACAACAACAACTACTACTACTACTACTTATTATTATTATCATTATCATTTCTCTTGAAGAGTTTCCAATTAAACCTTTGGTTTTTCTCCTGCCATATAAACTTAGCTATATCTTCCTGCCATTACTTTAATAGTGCACCCGTTGTCTAGATAGGTATTGTTTAAAACAGAGACATCAGTAATACAGTCATTTTTAATTATAGAAATTCTACCCAACAACAATTGTTATTTTTCCCCATCTTAACACATCGTTCTTTATTTAATTCCACGCCTTATCATAATTATTTTTACTTTTCTCTCATTTCTTTTAAATCGCTTTTTCCCATCAATTCTTTTTGGTCTTCCATTTTCATATTTTGGTCAACTTCTTTGTCCATTTGCCATTGATTTTAAAACCAGCTAATGCCCTAAAACAGACATGTCAAACACAAGGCCCGGGGGCCGGATGTGGCCCGCCAAGTGGTTTCATGTGGCCCGCGAAGCCATCCTGGAAACAGTGAGGGAACGGCCCCCTCTGCCTTGGCCCTGGCCCAGGCCAGCCGGGAGGCAATGTACAATTTTGTGGTGGCCATCTATGCTGAAACACATTCAGTCTTAGCTCCACAAGGCCATCTGGAAACAGTGAGGAACCAGGAGAACCTTGAGCAGCAGCCTTGAGGAAGTGGGGCTGGGCTTGGTGCCGCGGGTGCTCAAGGGCCAGGCTGGGCATTTGACCTCTGCTGCCCAGGGCTCTGGGCAGCCCACACCACCATCCAGCGCCCCCCGCATGGCCTGAGAGGAACAGTGAGGCTCCTCCAGTGGACCATGCCTTGACACTTGCCCTGGTCTCACCCCCTTCTGCCAGAGACCCTCAGATCTGTCCCACTCCTGCCCTGGCCCCACAGGCACCCTTGACGCGAACGATGTAGAGCTGGCCACGCCCACCCAGTATGCCACACCCACTCCACCCACGCCCACCCAGTAGGCCGCACCCACCCTGGCCACACCCACCCGCCTCCCGGAGGGCAACCACAATGGTGATGCGGCCCTCAATGAAATTGAGTTTGACACCCCTGCCCTAAAATCTGTTAATTTTTACATTAATATTATGGTTTCTTCCAAAAAGTCTTTTAAAACTATTACTTCCGGGCTTCAATCTGCTGCGCTCCAGGATACATATTCTATGCTTCTACAGGGAGTCCT